GGACCCCCCGTCCCCGCCCCGGCGTGCCCCGTGCCCGTGCTGCACCGTCCGTGCCCAGCAGCACCCACAGCGCCTCGGCATGTCACTCGTACAGGGGCCACTCGTGTCCAGGCATGACCCGTGCCAGCTGCCGCCTGTGTTCAGACAGGACCTTTGTGCAGACACCACCCCCGTGGTGCTCCCACCCATGGAATCATGGAAGGGTTTGGGCTGGAAGAGACCTCAAAGATCATCCAGTTCCAGCCCCCCTGCCATGGGCAGGGACACCCTCCACTACACCAGGTTGCCCAAAGCCCCATCCAGCCTGGCCTTGAACACTGCCAGGGATGGGGCAGCCACAACTTCTCTGGGCAACCTGTGCCAGTGCCTCACCACCCTCAGAGGGAAGAATTTCTTCCTTAGATCCCATGGAAATCTCCCCTCTTTCAGTTTAAAGCCATTGCCCCTTGTCCTGTCACTACACACCCATGTCCAAAGCCCCTCTCCAGCTTTCTTGTAGCCCCTTTAGGTACTGGAAGGTGCTGGAAGGTCTCCCCGGAGCCTTCTCTTCTCCAGGCTGAACAGCCCCAACTCTCTCAGCCTGTCAATGTCAACTGTGTGCAGATGCCAACCATGTGCCGAGACACATTGCCTGTACCCGCCTGGCACGGCCCAGCTTGGCACAGAGGGGCCCTGGCCAAGCTCAGGGTACTCACCTCCCCACCAGGGACCCAACACAGCTCTCTCCGGCAGAACAGCTCCTTTATTTTTAACAGCATTACCCTGCCTTTGACCACCTCGTTGTTTTCAGCACACGGGTACAACGAGAGGTACAACGAGAGGAACCACTCAATACAAAGAGACCCTGAGTTCACCCTGAAGACCACCGTGGCCAAACAGTTCACAGCTGCAGCGATGGTTTTGCTGTAAGATTGGGGGGAAACGGTTCTTTCCCAAACAGGTAAAAAGAACTTGGAAGCGTGGATTAATGTTCATGTCATTTTATCTCTCCTGCCATGATCCTGTAATCGAGAATTTGAGCTGTACTTGCTAATCTCACCTGAGTCAGTCATCTGCATACATGAGAAACAGCACAGACACCTTTTAATAGCAACAAGACTAATTTGCCACCCGTATTTTGATTTTAAGCCCCACCTACGACGATTGGTGGGGAAACACAACCACTTGAAAAGCAGCCCCAAGGCCCCCTCGAGGCCCAGTCAGAGTTCGAACCGACTGTGTATGTGTTTAGATTTCAACTTGTTGTACTTGGTGATCAGATCCAGCTTACTGTGCCCAAGAGTCATTCTCTTCTCAGCCCCGTACGCGCTGTTCTTTTCCATCAGCACGTCCTCAGTGAGTCTGTCATAGTAAGGAACTACGGGCTTTTTATCTCGTTTTAGGGGGTTGTATGGGGATAGCAGGTCCAATTTTCCATATCCGGGACTCTGTCTTTTTTCTATCCCATAAAAAGTGGTGTCATTTTCTGCTGTCGGTTCCCTTGAGGCAGCAGCAGGCTCTTTCTGCTTCGCGCTCGTTCCGTTGCTACTGGCACCCTCTGAAAAGGACTGCAACGCCTGCTCCTGTCCTGGTGGGGAGCAGTGGCTGCTGTTAGCATTGTCGTCTCCTTGATAACCAGGTTTATTGGAGCTCAGGGCAGGGGAAGTCTCCGGCTGCAAGAAAGTCCTTGCTGTCAGGAGGTGTGATTTGTGGTACAAGGCCGGGGTGGATTTATTTGGAGGATTGTTCCATGAGTCTGGTGGTTCTCCCTGCTGCTTAGGGCAAGGAAGCTTCAGAGATGTGTCTTCCTTCCCCTTCTTTTTACTAGAATCAGAGTTTGAATCTTGCTTTTCCTGGTGTATGTTGCAACCAGAGTTTTTCAGAAAGGGGGACATTTTTATGCTTCTTACACTTACATTGGAAAGGCTGCTGGAGGGGCTCAAGGTTTCAGCATCGTTCACCTGTGCAGGTTTTAAAAAAGAGTCAGCAACTTTTGAGGTATTCTGAGAAGAAGGGCAAGTTCCAGGATCTGGCACGCAGAAGCTGGTCACTGCTCTGGACTCTGCATACAAGTACCGGAATTCCTTTTCAAACTCTGCAACAATTTGACCACGGAAGTGGGTCACCAGGCTGGTGTGGACTTGGCTGCAAAGCCAGGTGAAACTGTGAAAAAAGAAAAAAAATAACACACAAAAACCACATGTAACTTCAGTTCACAGAGTGCCAAAACACGTGGCATTGATTTTAACATCCCAGTGATGTATTGTACGCAACTTATGTCATTAAAACTTCCTCTGAAGTACGCAAGTCTGAGGTTACTTGTGGAGATGAACGTACTCATTTTGGAATTACAAAAGAACAACTCTAAAACGGTCATTTAATTTCATCTTGGTGATGTAATGAACTGCACGAAAACATAATGAACAAGAAACATCAGCCACTTTTCCTTAGCCTCATGAAGGATGTAGAGCAGCAACCTGTCCCTGCCTACAAAGCACAGCAGCATGTTTGGTTCAGGCCTTTTCTTCTCCACCTTCCTCTTGCCAGCGCTCTCTGCCCGTAAGCAAAGGACCATCGTTTCCCATTCCCATCCCGTCAGTGTTGGGGGGTCCCAGCCACGCGTTTGTGGGCAGGCTCGGCGGTCCGTGCAGGGGGGGGTTTGTGTCAAGCAGGCAGTGGCAAGGAGAGCTCCAGCTGTCTGGAGATGGTGTGGCTACGGGACAATGAGATACGAACCACAGGGCACTGAAGGGCTCTCTCTGCCCAACTTGTACTGCAGACTTTCTAGCTCAGCTTCTGGCTAGCACAGAACTCTGCAACTACACCTTCCACGGAGGGCGAGGAGACTGTCTGGGGGGATATCAAGGCACGCCTGGTGTCCTGCTTTCTTCCCTTGCCTTGGCAGGAGCTACGTGCTCACGTCCTTAACATCTGCAACACGTGATGGACTTGAAGGAGGTGCTTAGGCAGGCAGGAGGGTGAGGAACAGAGACCTTGGGCCCTGCCTTGAGGAACAGAGGTCTCCAGAGCCCCGCAGGAATACCTCAGGACAGAAAGGCTGATGATGTTTTCTGTAAGTATTGCTGTGAGATTCCCCAGACTGTCCATCTCTTCCTTGCCCTCCAGTTATGAGATGGACAGTCTCAGAAGTTCACAAGTCCTATGCTCAGCAGGTCCAGTCCCTGCTCTTGTAGTACAATGCCTTGGGATCTTTTCTGGGAGCTTGTTACGTTCCACCTTAAAACAAATTGGGTTTTACCCCAGCTGGGGAAAAACTTTCACTAATTGCCATTCTGCAGATTTTCCTTATCTGTTTAACCCTACCTGTTGTTTGTGCCAAAACTGAAACTTAATTAGCTCTGCCTCCCTACATCTACAGATAGTAACAACATTTCTCCTCCCAGCCTTCATCTTCCTAGATTAAACAGGGAAGCTCCTCTTACAGAGTAGGCTCCCCAGGCTCCTGGTCATCCCAGTGATCAGCTGCTGCTTTTATTCCTGCTACAGTCAAACCAGGTTAGCAGATTAAAAATTATGTTAAATAAAACGGAACCTTGGCAGATGGAAGTACCAGCTTAGGGCTGCACTGTCGGCTGCTAAAGCAAGATACTGACTTGGGTAAGAGCAGGATGAAATCACAGGAACTGCAGGAGAGCAATTGTGATGGGAGATTCCAATTATTCTCAAGTAAATGCCATTTCAGGACAAGATACTGACACTCTGCTTTGGGATCTCATCAACGTTTGCTTCACAAGACAGCTTGTCTGGGAACTTTTAGTAGGAAAACCAGCTCTTGGCTCGTTCCTGAGCAGTATGCAGTCGTTACGGTTCACAACGTTGTTTTGAAGAAAGTAGTATGCTTACACTCAGCATACACATGCACCAAAGAGCAACGTAAAGTGAAAAGGTCAATACTCTTCCACCTTATATCAAAACAGGTAAATTAAGTAGGAAAGAAGAAGTAGTAAGAGTGGAAAACCTTTGTGGGTGGCATGAGGAGTATTCAGAAATACCAGACTGACCACCCAAAGCAAATGCATACAACTCCACAGATGCATGAGAAAAAAAAAAAAAAATAGCTGGGATGGTTAAATGACAGAAAAGAAGCTATAAAGACCAGAAAGCCCATCTTTCAAAAAGGCTGGGTCACACATCACAAAAGACGTAAGAAATAATATCCAGCTCTCTGTAGGGCTGGCACGTGGTCCGTGTGTAATAGGAGGGCTCAGATAACTCCTCTGCATCTGTGATTATTGTACAGGAGCTTGGGATGATCCCTGCCCTGAACCCACATTTATACAGAACATAAGGGAGGATCGGTCTCATGTTGAAATCTCTGTAGGACAGATTAGAAAACATATCAACAGAGCAGATGGCAACAAATTGGCAGGATCAGGTAACATGAACCCAAGGGCACCAAAGGAATGCAAGGATGAAGCAGCTCCACTACTAACCAGGACGTGTTCTCTCTCACTTGAAAGTGCCTTGGTTATCAGAAGAGTGGAAGGCTGCTAATCTGATATAATTCTTCTAATGTGCCAGACCATTAAGTCTCATAACTGCACAGCACAAATTATTACAGACTCTTCTAAAGAATACAATTAATAGGTAAATATAATAGGAAAGGCAGCTGTTGCAAAGGAAAGGTGTCTCTCACAAGGCTGTGGGAGTTCTTTGAAGAATTCCAAGAGCCCAGACAGCAGAGATTTCACGTGGCCTGTATCGACGTTGTCCAAGGGTCTCTCCCAGGGCACTGCCTGGCTCCAGGAGTGCTGGTGTTCCCGTCCACGTCGCTTACAGCTGTTACCCTTCCACACAAGAGTGCTGCGTCTGCACCACCCAGCGCTTAGACATATCCCAACTCAGGACCTGCTCCTCTCACACGTACACTTGTGCTCACCTGAACTCCTCAGAACCACTGGAGGGGGCAGCCCTGCACCCCTCGCACCGCCAGCGGTGTCCCGTGAACTGTGAGAGGACTCTGGTCAGCTGGGGGAGGACAATGCTGCCATCCCTGCTCACCCAGCCTGGCACCGCTGCTGCCAGCAGACCCGGACACAGAGCTGGGCAAGTGGTCGTGCTTGCCCTCCTCGTTCTGGCTAGGAGGTCTCACGTCTCAGACTCAAATGGTCTAGCAGGAACATCACAACAGCTACCCATCGAGGCCTCTGGCCTGACCTTAGCAGGAGGTACACAAGAGGTCTTGCTTAGGTTTGTCTTCCCTCCCTAGATAAAGTGAGTTCCACCGATAAAGGTCTTTTCCCCCATGAATGGCATGGAGGAAACAGTCAGGGAATGATCATTCTTGGTCTCTTCTGGTGTAAAAATGAGGCACTGAAAGAAGTGAAGTTACAAATTCAAGACAGACCAGAAGAGGTACTTCCTCGCGTAACAACGCAGAGGCGAGCGGTGGAGCTCCTCGCCACGGGTCACCGCGATGCCAAAAAGTTCACGTGAGTTTCTAAAAGAGGTAGGATTTTTCTGCCATTATTTTTGCCATAACGAACTGCTGCACGCAGAGATCCCGTATCCAGTTCTGAATCATCCTGGGGCACAAATTACAGGAGACTGGGAGAGGGTCGTGTAAAAAAAATCCCCGTCCTGCTTTCAGACACTCCTGGAGCAGGAACCCTGCAGGAGCCCATGCAGCTCAGCCTTTGGCCAGGAGATGGAGATGCAGCATCACCTCCCGGGAGTCACACAACCTTGAATTTCAGTCGACATTGTCTTTGATAAAATGACAATAATCTGACTTGATTGTAATAAGCTCTTTAAGCTTGCTTCCCATGCACTTGAAACCATTTCCACTCCTCATTTTTCATCTTTGTTTGGATTAAAAACAGTGCAATGTATTCAATGCTTTCCACTCCTTATGCACTCACTTTCTGCTTAATTACAATTTCTTTCTTGAGGTGGCTGTTTATCAAGTTAGATCTGGAACTCACTCTTAAAAGCTCTTTCCTCTTGTTTGGGACGTGGATACCTGAGAGTATGAGCACCTTTCCTTTAAAGAAATTCCAAGCCTCCTCCAGCTTCAAACCCATGTAGCTTTACCTGTCCACTGCCAAACACTAACGTACTTAGCTTTTCTTCCTCTGTTCCGAAGCCAGGTGCAGAGTTTTTGTACTCCTCCCAACTTTCTCCTTCATTTTTCAGTTTCAGTTGTCGTGTCAGCTTCAACCCCAAATCCTGAGCGTCTTTCACTGCAATACGGCAAACCATGAGCTCCTTCCTCTCTGTGCCAGTGGCAGGACACATACCGGTACCTTGACCTTCTTCCATTTGGGGCTGAGAAATTTCATCTCCTCTAAAGCAACTCCAACAGCCACGTAACTCCCTTTCAGGCTGACAATACCACCTCTTTTCTCTGGTCCTAACCTGGCAAATATTTACTCTAGTTTTCCTGTTCAAGACCCTGTTTAGCTCTAGCCCCACTTGCCCTTAGGCTCCTCTCATCTGCTGCATTAGTAAATGTCTTTATATCCTTCACTTTGTTACGTTAAATTAGTGCTCAAAGAAACATACTATTTCTTCTGGTGCCTAGAATAACTTAGATTTATATCTGAATAACTAGATATATAATTATATTTAGGACTTTAGACTATTGCTTTTCCCAGATATCTCAGTGAACCTTGTTTTCTCCTTGTCTTCATTTAGAGGAAACAGAATGTTGAAGATGGAAAACACAGGGAAATATTTAATCAATAAATGCATAAGAGTTGAGGAGTCTAAACTAATTTGCCTACAGTTGTTTAAGGTAAGAGCAGTGAGCTCGGTTCCCATATTTAGAAAACTTTCCAAAAACATGCCTGATTCATACCAATAGGCAGCAGTATATCAGAATGAGTTCAGCTTGCCAAGAGTATTTTGGAAAATGAGAAGGGCTTTTACAAAACTATCAAGGAAGATGTCAGCATAGAGAACAACAGTATCAACATATGGGGTTCAATATGAAAATGTGAATTTGTATACTACTCCTGCTGCATGCATGTAATACTGCACATAGGGCTCACAGAAGAGAGAATCTAATGGCTAGAGATGTAACTTGAGATGAAAAATGTATTTCAGGCATGATTTGAGCATGCATTTGAGGAGAAAAGAGGCTTTTCTTACAGCCAAAGAATTAAGAGACACACACGGAATACCTGAATAGTCAAGGATAG